AAAATTATATTAACTCACTAAAAATAATTTTGAATCGTTGAAAATAAAATTAAAATCGTTAAAAATAATTCTGCATTATTAAAAATAATTGCACATCGTTAGAAATACAATTAAAACCACTAAAAATAATTCTGAATCGTTGAAAATAAAATAAAAATCGTTAATATTAATTACGAATCGTTCAAAATACTTTAGAAAACGTAACTTTAATTTTCTGAACTACTAAATTAGATTTTATTAAAATCTCGGGAAACCAGTCGCACGGTTCCCTCACGGGTCTCACAATACTCCCATAAAGTTATCCAACCAAGCTTCTCACCAAGTCGTGATCGTAAACTTCCGGTATCGCATCACCGATGAAGTTAACCGCGGTGTTGTACGGTGCGTTCTCGTTTATCTCGGCACGGTATCTCGCGCTTCGAAATTTTGGGACCTCGTCGTTCACGTCCATCAGAATAATCGTAACTTCGGTCGAAACTGACGGCGGAGGCACTATCTTCGATACTTCTTTCACGGTAATTTCCAGAATAAACGTTCCCTCGGCGTTTTCCTCCGCTTCACGGTCGAGTTGCGCCCTGGTGAACACCAAACCGGAAGTCGCGTCTATGTCGAACAAATATCTCGGACCTTGAGTGATGCTGTACGTCACCTTGTTGTTTATCCCCTTGTCACCGTCCACCGCGCGAACTGTGAAATATTGGAAAGGTTTTATTGCAAATTATTTTTTATTCTGACTTCATCACGTGATAACTTCGATTACAGTATTTCCCTGGTTGTCGTCGATAGTGAAATAACTCAGAAAATGTCAATTTCGATACTTCTGCAAAGATAGATTGCACAGATACAGTATTTTTATCATCTGAAAAGGTATATTTTTAGCTTCATTCGTATCGTATCAGAGAGTAGAAAATGTTAAACTGCTTTTCCTGTGAAATTTATATTTTTCGAGTTATGTCGGTGTCGACGTCGAGCAGCGATTTGTGAAAATGAGAAAATGAAACAGGAATGTCACGGTTATACCAATGCTCGTTTTTCTGGTAATATAATATAATGTAGTATAATAAAGTGTTGCCTTAACAGATTTTTGTACTAAATTAAATCATTTCTAAAATCTAAATCCAAGTCTAAAAATTCATATCTAGAAAATCTTTCGGTTTAATTTCTGGAGAACAATATATATTCACTAAACCGACGATATATTGAAGTTAATTTATTTTTTTTCGATATTAGGTGTTCAGGTTTTATGGTAAATGGCCTATATTTAGAGTAACTATGCAGACTTTGGTCCAGATCTGTCGAAGGATTTAGGAGTTAACAGGAAACACACAGACAGACGTTTTATTTCACACACAAAATGAATCACACAACTTGTCCACCTCGAATAACTTCCAAAGTACGTGTTTTACAAAAAAAGAGCTTTATATAAAAATTTCTGAAAACATTTTCTTCTAAATAACCTATTAGTTTACGAGATATCAAGCTGACCTTGAATTCTTTAAATGGAATACGTACGTTCTTGTACCAAAATTTCAAAGAGCAGTGAATTTTCTGTAAGAAAGTATCAAGCTTTATTTAGTGTAGCAGTAATAGCACGTCTGAACTTTTCGAGTAATAAGGCCATTTAAATGTATAGTAATGAAATTGTATCACGCAACATACGGTACAAGTAAAAACATAAGCGATAATTATATAGGAAATAGCCGAGATCCTTTCGTTGCCCCTTTTTCTCATTCTCCAACGATGACTGTAATTTCGACTAGTAATAGTGAGTTAGTTGACCTTGAAGCACCGACGTGCCTATCCTGGCGTTTTCACTGATCCTGGCAACAGGCGTCATGGTTATGAATTCTGGTGGTTGATCCTCAACGTCCTGAACCTTAATGAGTATCGCGGTTGTTCCTGTGTTTACCTGAAATAATTGCGATACAAAGGTATACTGAAAAAGAAAAAAATACTTGTACGCGATTCCACCTTCGAGTTACCTTGAATGTGGTATATAGACGTGTTACACTTGTATTACGGTCGTTCTAACGATAAGCGGTGCTATTGTCCTTGGGATATTTTACGAAGGTATTTTCCGTAGAGATTACTTTCGCGGTATTATACGGGCTCTATCTTAAATCAAATTTAAACGGCACCCCTATGTTCGAGACAACGAAGTAAAGCGGGCGGTGAATTTATTTGCGCGTGTTTGTGTATTTAAAAAATCGACAAGATTTTCGAAATAATTAGAAAATTTCTTCAAAATGTATATTTGCTTCGAAAATATGCTTTTTTTTAAATTCACGATGTACTTAATTTCATGTAAATATGATTATTTTGCAGTTCCCTTACTGCTGTAACTACGTATTGCGAACATAGTATGTAAGTACAATTCATTGAGAAATTAATAGTGATACTGTAAGATTTTGGTCTACTGTGTGTGGTATACAATTATTTCCTTATTTTCTTGTATTTGTGTATTTTTGAAGAAATGGATTCACGGTGGCAATTGCACGAGTTCAGAAGTGGACTTAGTGTAGTTGAAACAGCAAGACAAATAAACAACTGACGGGGGAAAGAATCACTAAAAGAATCGTCAGAAATTAGCTCGAAAAATTTCGTTCTAACGTGTATAACTTCAAAAATGAAGATAGAAGTTGGCCAAATGGCTTACTGGATCCTGAAACATCACGACAGTTGGTTGAATTTGACGAGAAACATTACAGAAACTCAATGTTTGCCAATTACTTTGATTAATGCAATGCATCGTCCTTTATCCTTCGAATTATTTTCATTTACCTTCTTAATATCCATATTTTGATGCTCGCACTTGTACACACCTAATATTCATTAGTAGACTGCGGATTTTTATGCATTTATAGGAAATTTAAAGGTACAAAATTGCACAGAATGCAGTAAATATCCAAATTATAGTGCTTTTTGTAATACCTGGTACGTGATATAATTGCTTACCAAAGTTCTACTTCTTTTGCTATATTCTCAAAAATATAAATTTGCGTAAAAATCCGCAGTCTATTCGTTGGATACCCAAACTACGCAATTTTTATGATGTATTAGACGCAGATAATACGATTTACTCATTTACGGTCCTTTAGCTAAACAATCAGTATCCCGAAATTGATCGTTTCAAGCAAATATTTATAAACCAAGTTATTTTATTTAATTAAATAAACTCCACCTACGTATTTAATCCCGAAATTTACTAATTTAATCGCCATCCATACTTAATTAATTATAATTTAAAAGCTGACATCAATATTTATCAATGCGTCGCACAAACTTCAATTTCGACACGACAATTTGCACTAACGAACACTAAAAATTGCTTCGAATTACTTCAACGCAAGACGTACCTTCTCGTTTATCGCCCGATCAATAGCCAAAACTCTCAGCTGATACAGATACTTTCTTTCGTAATCAAGTCGACCGACAAGCCGGATGACACCTTTCCCATTTACGGTGGAAATGGTGAACATGTCATTATCCCCGTCGAGTTCTTGCAGGTAGTAAACCACCTGTCCGTGCGCACCTAAGTCCGCATCGGTTGCCTCCACTGTTGTTAAAATACCCGGCCCGGAATCCTCCCGTAGCGTCAAGGAAGTCGGATGCGGCCGAAAAATTGGCACGTTGTCATTCACATCTTCCACAAGCAACAGCAGGCTTTGCGTGATGAAGTTTCCTTCCCCTAGTCTGCCGTCTGTCAATGTCAGCACCACCGCGTACTCGTCCCTTGCCTGAAGAGACACGGGCAATATATTTTTTTACAAGATTCCTTATTTCTGTGGTATTTCTTAGTTAACAAATTTTCGGTGATATAAACGACGACTTTTAATATTTAGAAAAGAAATCGAGTACTGTTTTAACATATCTACTTTGGACAATATTAATTTCTTCGCTCGAGTCGGTATTTTTTACTATAGTTTGACTTTTTTTAATCGCTACTGAAGTTTATGTTTGTTACAACATTTTGGTGGATAATATTGCACCTCGATATTTGACACACTACCTTGTTTTTTTTCGTTAGAAGGAAAGAAATTTAACTGCCCAAATTGCAAATTTGACAATATCAACTCTGTGAGAAATAATATTGAAAAATATTTCAGTGAGAAACCGAAGCAATCTTAGTGGCTTTGCCAAAAAGATAGGAAGAAGTTCTGGAACCAAAGGGTGACTTTCTTTCGTAGCATTGAACCCTTTCGCTGCGGTAAATTTCAAATCTTCCGCTTCCGCCGTATCGTTTTAAAATTGTTTTGGCGAAATTGCGCCAGAAGGCCCATAGATCTGCTCTCTGTCTTCGTTAATTATTTACCAAGTGACAATTATTTAATGTCCCTTCTCAGCCACCGTTCGATTACAAAGGGTTAAAATATTCATCTAAATTCACCGTAATAAACGACACTAAGCAAATCTTGCTTCCTTCTAATTTTTAGTATGAAAGCGTGCATATTTATACATAATACCTAACGAAAGTAAATTTCCTATAATTAATGTCAAATCTAGTAGAAAATTCGAGCATGTACGTACATCGTGTACAAGCTGCTGCTAAAATCGACAATATAATTTGAAAATGAAAAAAGCAAGCTGAAAGCGGGGAACGATTACGAGAGATGTGTAGCATACAAATTACCTCGTTGCTCGGAAAACCTGTAGCATTATCTAGATTACTATAAAAGCATCTTAACAGTCTCCGTCAGGATATGCAAACCGGCAAACCAATAATCTTCGGATAGACGGTATTCTTCATGAGCAAATTAACTTGCACACCAACGATCACGTATAAGAGGTACGATGATGACAAGATAACAACTTCCACGAATAGGTCCAGCATAGATCACTAACTGCACGGTTCTTTAGCTGGCTCGTACATCCCTCGAGTTTCTCTTTAATGCCTTTGACATTATTATTACCGCGATCGAACGTTGGTACTGTGGGCAGAAGGTGTTCGAATGACGTCCATTCGTGCGAGAAGCACAGTTCTCTGGGGGGAAGTGAACGTAGAAATTATCTTCTTCGGAAGACTCTCGTGCAAACCGCGCGAAGAGAAAAATCCTTGCCCACGTCCTCGTTTATGCTTTAATGGAATACACACCGAGACATGATACTCTGTGAGAGATTAGCTCGATACAGTACTGACGGGATGTTAATGAGCTTTTAATTGTAAGGGTTTGTTGGTTTTCTCGATATAGCGGTGCTGAAGAGAAGAGGTGTTGTACGTGTATTTATGAGTTTCTATAGAAGTTCGAATATCTTTAAATAAAAGGTTAAAAGTGAGAAACTTAGGCAGTTGTTAAAGTGATATTGTGGCGACCGCCACGGAGGGCCTACGTACTTAGGCCTGGCGACTCTTGGCCCTCGAGGCGAAGAGAATTTACAGACAGGTAAAATAACACCCTAAAACTCCATGTAACAGAAATAAAAATCGCATATTCCCCTGATTTTCACTTTTCCCGCTCACTTCACGATTTCCTCAAAAAACAAGAATTTAGGAAGCAGTAGGATATCGAAGACTCCTTTCAGAAGTTTCTTCCTCTTTGCGACAAAAGTGTATCGAGCATTACAGAAATTATTTTAAATTAAAACGTTTAATTTCCACGGAGTTACGCTTCTTTCTTTTTCACAATGAACGGCATAAATCTTCCGCGGGGACTTTCAGGTTGGCCCGATAAAGTGCTACACAAAGAGCGATACTCGGAGGAGTTTCGCAGTATCGGTATTGCGGGCAGCAGAATAGAATTATTGCAATGAAATAGACCGTCTCGGGAACGAATTACCTCTCTGTCTAGCAATTTGTTCAGGTAAATATTAGCCTCGTTCGGACTAAAATTCTCGACCCGAATCACGTCGCTGCCAGGTTGATCTCTAACGCCGAACGTCAGGCTGTCACCGTCAGGATCGACGCCGCGAAGCCTGTAAATTAAACTGCCTGCAACAGAAACCAGTCGGCACGAATCTCAACACGATACACCAGTGAACAAAGGGCGTAATTAATTTAAACGTGCATAAATAGACGCTGATTGCATTGTACATATTGCGAGCTGGCGCGCAGTCACCGGTGGAATGTTAACGGAAAAAGGAGCGTGGAAAATCCCCGGAGTTTCCTAAGAACGCTAATTCTAAGGACTTTTGATTGTGAGATAAAATACCGAAATTCTGGTCTATAGGAATCGAGAGAATGAATCTAATTAAGTTCAATTGCGTAAGTCGAGGGAAATTCGGATGAACGTATGAAAATTGAGAAAAATTGTGCTCCTTGGAAGATTCGAATGTGCAATAGAAACAATAGAAAGATTTTAATTATTTTAATTATCGTAATGCACGACGTTAATTTTTAAATGGAATAAAATAAACTATGTGAATCTTTCTACGGTTATTTGTTATCTAATAATATTAAAGAAAATTTGAAAGAAGAGAATCTCAAGAAAGCAATCGAACTTATATAATGGCATAATTGCAAACTATGGTTGCTAATAAGAAAAATGTCGACGCGGCCTTATATTATATTTAAAAAAATTTCATATCTGTAAATTTAGTTTCTTCCCAAGTTATTAATAATATACACATGAACACGGTTGCAGTATAGTTTAGCGTCAAGTTAAATGCATAAATCGAGAAGATAAGTACCTACACTTTGAAATTAAATATTACATGTAATTAAAAAAGGAAGTACAATTACTACAGCCTTTGCAAGTATAAAATTTCTCTTATCGGATTATTCATCTCACGTATAGATTTCTGTGCGTTTACCTTTGATAATTTTCAAAATTTTTTATTACAAAAGAGTGTTAATCTTTTGTTAATCTATCAGAAATATTTGTTTAGAATTTTGTATTTTGTTGTGACTCGTACAATACTCGTATCCCTGTACTAATGTCTTATGTGACATGTTGTGTAATAGTGAAACAACAGGAAGTTTATTAAATCACGTTAATCTAGGGTAGATACACTGAAAACAGAACAATGCTACATTTATGAATGTTCCAATTCGAAACTGTCTCACGTTGTTAATTTATTACTTATTACATGTGCTCATTGCAACACTGTTCCTCCAGTGAAGAGGAGAAGTGAAACTTAGAGCAATCTTCTTCGTTTCTTAAAAAAAAAAAAGAGAAAATTAGTCTCAATGGTAAGGAAGTTTCCTACACAAATTTTGAAGGTATAAATCCTTTAGATCCTTTCTTTAATTATTTCAAAATTAGAAATTAGATAACAGAAGTGTTGTATTCAAATTAAATAACGTACCGAATTTATCTCAATATGAAAAGCAATGAAAAATTTCGAAAAATTCTTGCAATTAAACAGTATTGTAGATAATTACATTTGAAGACAGTTTATATAAATACATTATCAAAGCTATCATATAAATTTACCGTAGTGTAACATCTATTTAGCATTGTTTACAAAATAGTAACCATTTATATCATCTAATAACTTCTTATAAGTGTTATAATACAAATATGATAATTATCAACTCTTTCTGTACAAATTGCATCTAATAGATACTCTTTTCTGATAATAAAAAAACTTACTATATTAGCAATCTATATGAAAGACTAATAAATTTTACAGTTGAAGGGTAAATTTTAATTATCTATCTAAGTACTGCAAAAAATTCTCTTAAATTTTAAGAATATGTAAGAGAAAATTTACAGACAGAACATTAAAATAACGAAAACTAAATAGAAAACAGTATTTATAGGCACAATTTTAAAATAACGAAAGCTAAACTAAAATAACAATAGCTAAAAGAATTGCGTGCGGCATTAAGGTGTTAATAAGTAACATTGTCTCCTGTTTGCAGTGGTGTATGCATATGTAAGAAAAGCATAGGGTTGTGTGCATGAAAGCGGAACGATGTTCCACATGTCCTTACCAAGTGGCGTATCAGGACCTTCCTTTAGCCTCAGAATGATTTCCGTTTGGCCGTCGATCAGGAAACGTGGTGGATTGTTCCTGGCCGAGCAGCTCGCCAAAAGGCAGGTGAACACGAACGCGACCCATTCGGACTTGAATCTGCGCCTCTTGTAGGATCGTAACAACCACGAAAACGTGATAATCGGCTTCGTTGAGGTCATTTTGGTTGCATGCTTCGCTTAATTGTCGTCATTACTTTCTCCCTGTCGAATGGAAAATATACCAACTGAGAATAATCCTGATGCTTGTTAGGAAATATCGTTGGATTCTTCCATAAGAGAAACGCGACGTTGATACAGTGTTACTCGAACAATTTTTACAGCAATTACTAATTATTTTATTTTTTTAATCGTTTCAAATTGCTTCCTGTAATTAAGAAACAATGATAAGGAACGGCAATTAAGAGATACGTTGAACGTCATTTAGCTTATAATATACGCCGCTTATACAGAGTGACCCGTTTTAATCTAGAAATGCTAATATTTCGGAAATTACGTTGGATTTGGAAAACCTACTTTTCGAGGATCGAATGATACGAAGATGGACACGTATCGTCGACCATCGTCATAATTTTCTATGTCTAAGTGTTAAGATCACTCCAAGGTTAGTTTAATTTCTTTAAATGACACGGTATTTCTTTTTTTTTACAAAATAGAGCGTAGCATAATTTTATTAAAAAATAATATGTAAACGAACACTCCATTTGATGAAATAACGTAGACATCTTGCACTGATCACGGGAAGTTAAAAGTGTCACTTTAGAAATGCTTATGACGGTGTGACATGACATCAACAGGTGTATTGAAATAATTATTGATAATTAAATTCAACGAGTTGGATGATGATTTTCTAATTCTAATTCTTTCTCGAAATATTAACATCTATAGATTAAAATAGGTCACCCTGTATAAAAGGCTTACTCTTTAAATTAAATGACTTTAAATTCCTATTCTTTATCTGTTTCTTTTTTTTTAATTACAGATCTATTTTATCAATGAAAAGGTGCTTACTTTCATTTGAAATTTTTAGGTGATAATAACAAATGCTTTTGTTGAAAATTTCAATAAAAATTTGAAACTATAAGTTGACTATAAATACTTCGGAATTTTAAATCAAAGTATTTTCTCTAAAAAGTGTATAAAAATCATTTCTTTAGAAGAAATTACCTAACAGTGTACACGAAATCCTCCTTCATTCCAGACATTGACGGTTTACATAAAACGCGAATGTTAGAAAGCCCACTCGAACGTGAACTGTCCTTATCATTTTCATCGGTGTTACAAAATTCTCGCTAAGACTGGACAAATTTACATAATTGTCTCTCTCTCTTCTACTCAACATTTCGAGAACGTCTGCCATTTCGAAAATTCGCTTCCTTCCAACGCAAGTTGAAACGAAGTGAATGTATTACAATCATAACGTTACGGTTAGGAAAAAAGCAATTACACGTATTGCAAGTTTTATTACTTGTTATCACGACGTGTGCAATGTGTCCCGGATCTCTGATCTTGGAACAACATTAATAACAAGCTCGAAGAATGTTCTTACTTGAAATACCGGCTATCTTCTATTATACTTTTGCAACGAAACAATTAAGGCAATAATTAGACGTACGTATAGGAGCACGTGCAATTAGAAGCTGATTTATGAATGAAAACGTGCTATTTAATGTTGGATAGAGAAAAAACATTCACGTAAGTGTAACGTTATACTGAAAAATGCTTAGGTGTGCTTAATGAATTAACAGTCGAACCGAGGAAAAATCAAATTACTCAGGAGTAGAAAAACTATTGTATTATACGTGTTAACCCTTTGTACACCAAGAATTCTTTGATAAGATAGTGTACCTTTGCAGTGAAACTTTTGAAAACCCAAAGTTTCGTTTTGAGAAATAGATTTTTAATTTGCATTATTTTAATAATATAAAAAATCCTGAATTTTTGACAAGATCAATCACCAACTCCAGTACGCTTTTGCGGTGAAACTTTTGAAAACCCAGAATTTTATTTTGAAAACGAGAAGATTTTCAATTTGCATTATTTTAGTAATACAAAGAATCCTGAATTTTACGTTTTAAAAGCTCTGCAAAATAATTACACGCGCGCCGCAACAGCGTCACTGGAGTGCAAAGGGTTAAAGATTACGTAGAAAGGAGTTCGTCGTTTTTTTTTTCTCACAAGCATTCGTTTCTTGGAAGTATTCAGATTAATTACGCCGCGCCACATCCAACCACGTGTCACTTTCACGCTCGTATTAATTCGCCGACGTGTGATTTTTCTCGGCGAGAGCATCGAGGAATAGAAACAAGTCGGCGAGTTACGGATCCCGAAGTTAATTGGTCCAACGGTGCAACGCGAGAGACACGTCTTCTGAGAACGCTGTAATTGGCCACGCGGAGAAACCGCGTTGGGGGAAGATCAGGAACCGTGGCGAAACGTGTTGCACCCCGCGGAAAAGGTAAACTCGGCCAGAAGGAAAGCGCGAATAAACCAGTTAGCAGAAGAAAAAGGTTACAGATTTTCTCGTGGCACGCGACCAGATTTCTCCAGGGCGGTTTTAGACGATTTTCAGGCGATGCAATTGTCAATTAGCCTTGTTCAACTTTTCTTTACTCTGAAACTGTATCTGCGACACTTTTTTTGAAAATTCTTTTTTCTTCTTTGAGAAATTTCTTTTTAAGAATACTTCAATTGGAAATTCTGAATGTTTTACAGTCTATTCAGAATTATTTTGGAGATCATTTTCATTCATTAATTCTCTGTCATTGTATAATTAAATCTACATTTGCAGAGCAACTGAAATGCTTTAAAAATTCTTTTCTCTTTTTGAAAAATTTTTCTATCATTTAAGAATATTTTCATTGGAAATTCTGAACTTGGTAAGAATTGTAGAAAGAATTTTTAGCTTTTAGTGTCTAGAATTACTTTAAAGATCATTGTCTTTCATTAATATTGTATGACTATTCTGCTGATACTTCTTTGTAAATTTTGCAATAAGAGAAAATGTTTTTAAAATCGTAACTAAACGATATAATGTTACAATTAAATATTTTAGAGCGCTATACTGTGACTATTAATACAAATTTCATACGAAACTTTTTATAAACAAGTAAATCAAGTTTAAATAAATGTCTTCATTAAGGTACGAGCGTGTTATGCTGAAAAAAATTTTACGCATGTTACGCACAAAGTAGTACATGAACTTACGTAGTATACATATACAAGAAGCATTCGTTGCCATAAATGGACAGTACAGGTTCTCTTAAATTACAGATACCTTCGTTTATTATAGTTATAGATGAAAATAATATGCGTTAAAGTAATAACTTGTGGCAGAATAATTTAGCATAATAATATAATTAGTCGAATGAAATTGTGAAAAATTTCCTTCGGTGTACAACGAAGCATTATTATAAAGTAATCCACTAAACATGGCTTTTCAACGAACTTTGAATACAATATGAATAAATTACGGGAATTTTAATGCAAGTAAATTCGTTCTGTATATGCATTGTGCAAACTGATAATAAAATGCATTTATGCGTACGGAGAGATGTAACAGGAAGAGAAGTGGCAAGCATTCAAGTATTGCAAATATATAGGGTAACCGCGAACAGTGGCAGAAAAGAGAATGGAGTCATTCTACGAATATGGAAAGAAAAAGAACTTCGGTTCGTCGAGAGCTTCACATGTTCAAACAATTGAATGCGTACTCGAAGAAATTTGAAATTCAACTGAAATTCAATTGGAAAATTTTATTCTACCTTTTTTTACTTCGCTTTGCATGCTGTGCAGAATTATTTCGTTCTTCGTTATACAAGGTGCGGTCGAAAGTATTGTGTAAGCCGGCAGGAAGTGATTGCTTATGCAAAAATAAATAATATATGTGTTTTTTTTGGAAAATCAGGTTTGAAAATTCGTCGCGTCTGAAATTTAATATGAGAAATTCTTTCTGAAAATAATATTTCTTAAATTAAATTTCGGAATTTCTCAATTGATTTAAAATAATATTGTTGATGAAATTTTGTCTTTGTGCTTTTTCGAACCTAGTAACTGGCAAAAGGCGCGTAAATGTTGTACAGAAACACGATAGACATTGTATGTCATTCGATGAACCGTCTTTTTGGTATGCAAGTGCAAACGATTACAATTTAATTTTAATTATCAATATTGTTAGAGATCGATTCGGTTGTTCCTATGCGTCCGCGATTTTCTTTTGTTCGCTGCGGCCAGAGCTCCGCGCTCGTCCGTCTTTCAGTCGAGTCGTGAACGAACCCCTGACAAATATTCAGCAATCACAAATTAATTGAAGCAAAATATTCGATTATTGGATAAATTTTGTATCGATCAATATTCCTACGATCCTAATTTAACGAATTTTACGATCCTAATGTATATTTGCAATCATAAATTCCCAAACTGATTGTAGTAATAAATTCGATTACTGAATAAATTTTATTTTCGATTTAAACAAAGCTTTATTCTAATATACTTAATATTTTATTTTCTATATTAGTATGAAATTTTAATATAATAGAATTTTTTAAATTTAACACCTGTACATACGTCACCATTGATGGACTGTTAATGGAGCAAACATAATACTAAAATTCCGTTAGTGTCTCGCTTCGTTTACTTTGCCAGCTAAAGATCCTTTATACACGAATCATTACTTCCACATTATTTCTACAGTATACCACATTAACAAGCGATTAATAAGATCTATCCAGCGGAAAGTTCGGTTTATTGCAATAATAAAATACAACTGTTCCTTGATTAACTCTGTAATAGCGAAATTATACCGATATTACTTGCAATTATTTCGATTCCGTGGTGGTAATGATAAGGTTTGCTCGGGTACACTTGATTTAGAGTCACATATTAGAGCAAGTAGTTGACAGGAAATGAGTAACAGGTATGAAAACAATCAGTTTGTAGATAGTGTGGAGAAATTAGGT